CACTAGTTCTTGGAAGAAATTCAAGCTTTCCTTTGAGCCTTGAGTTCTGGTAAACCTTTGACAGAACAGAAGCTGTAGGAGCAATAGCTGACTCCTTTGATTCCCATGTAGAAATCAAATACAGAGAAATGTTGCCAGGGCATGTGCCTGCATGCTGTCCCTGACTGATCTGTTTAAAACAGTGATTCCCCATCAGGGTGTCACAGCACATTGGGGTATCATGAGATGCTTGCAAGGGTGCCACGGCATGCCACACAATATTAGCATTTTTAGGTGTGCCAGTGCCTACACATGATTCACTAGATAAACCCAGAGATTTCAAATAGGAATCCATAGTGTCAAAAACATGCTGACTTGTGGTCTCTCTCAGTTGGCTGCAACAAAAGAATTGCTCTATTATTTTCCTGTAGGAAAAAAAAAGAGTGGAAGCTTAAAAGCTGGCATTATCTGAGGGGTGCCTTGAGTATAATGAGATTGAGAACCACTGGATTAAAAGTGTACTGAGGTGCTTGCGGAGAGCAGTGGTATTTTGAGAGTAAATTTATAGAAGAAATTAACATATCGTTCCCAATCCGCAGATAGTGCTCTAAACTGAATATTATGCAAATCTGTAATATAGAAATAATGGATTTAGGAGTTTCTTATGGAATTTCCTCTACCCTTTCTAATACAAAATTTGTTTCAGAATCAGGAAGTATCCAGCATTTGCATTTAAAAATGTAATGGCTAAATCACACATTCTATTTCCCATCTAAAATAAAAAGCCCCAATATAAAACAAAATAAAAGCCCCAATTCCATGCTTGCACTTAATTACAGGAGAAATAACATGGTGTGTAGTCCATCAGTGCATTGATTTGACATATTGATGTTGCTTTATTGAGGTTTTCTTTCTCTCTCTACCACAAGAAATGAGGTATGTATATAGCGTTACTGGAGATACTGGAATTTGGGTCCAATTAAGATAGGGGCAGAATTTTGGCTATGAAATATTATGTGGATCTAAGATATATTAAAAAGAGAGCATTTTTCCTGGACATTTCCTTCCTTTTAAGGATTTGTGCGGGTGGATTTTATGGTTAAGTAATTAATTTTAACAATTATTTTTCTTTTGGGAGAACTTGATATAAATTGAAATTGATCATCTGGCCCCATTGTCCAACCTGAATGAGATACCAAGATGCCAAAAGCAAAGAACATGGAAAGTGAAAAGATAAAATAGATTTTAATTCATGAGCATTGCTTTGATGTTGAAGTAGTGATTAATAGGTGAAAGTAAATAATTTCATTATCTTCTTTTAATATAACAGTCAATTATTTTCAAGAACTGTTCTTTGATTCATTTCTGCATTTCCATTTTTCTGAAGGAGTTAGGATTTTAATTAATTGCATCGTTTTCAGGCATCTGGCAAAAATTAGACTGTGACAAGGTAAAAATATCTGTTCATTCTTACACATTTTCAGTTAATTGGCAATACAGAGACATGAAAACATTCTCTCATCACATGTCTCAAAATTAAAAACGAAATACGAAGACTAGAATTTGTGCTCAATATTGATTCTGTCAAGGAACTACTTTGCTATTTATTTCAACAACAAAGACAACGTGGACCAAAAATATATTGGGCTCTAGGAAGATGTAGGACAGGTATACAGAAAACCTGTACAGCAACCTAGCCACATTTACAGACCACACATGCTTATGTATCGAAGGGGAGGCAAGGAGTTTTTTTTCTTTTCAGGCAGGTTATTTTTTTCTTTTGCTGGCATGTGATGGAAAATACAAAGCACCCTTCTTCAGGTCAAGACCCAACAAAGCAAGATAAAAACCCCTTGCTTTTTTGTGTATTTCTGGGGCTATCACGGTAACAACAAAACTCCAAATCCTCTTATGAGTCTAAAACATTTTTGAAGCTTGCTTCAGAAGTGCTGTTTGTGTTCTGCCTACTTTAATATGAACAAAGAGTTGTAGACCGTGTTCTACCTCTGCTTATCCTGTGCACGGTTGTTCCATAGATCTGTTAATTTGTCTCTTAGAATTAACATGCCCCCCACCTTCCTTTTTAATATATAAATTCCTTCTCAAAGATTTTATTTTTCTAAACATTTGGACATAAAATGTGTATGCAAATATCTCCAGAAGTCATGGCTTCCTTAACTTACTAGCTCTCTTTTGTTTGGCCTCTTCTAAATTCAGACACAAGAATAAAACTTTTTAAAACTTTAATTACAAATAGAAAAATAACTCTCAGATAAGTGCTCTTTCACCTTGCTTTACTGATTGATTTTGGTATAGAAACTAAGAGGGTTATTTTGTTTTTGTTTTTTGCAAATTGCATAAGAGTAAAGTAGAAATAAAACCATTCAGAACTGCATAGCTTCTATAATGATGGACAAATAAGAACTCAGTTGCAAATTAAATTAAATTAGAAATTAAACCAGATAGAGTTGCCTTTCCGAATAACTTCTATATGAGAGTAGGGAGCTCAGCAACACAAGACAGTGACCCATAATGTTCAAATCTCTCATCCACAGTTTTAATACTGCTAACCACACTAAAAACATTCAAGTTTCAACATAGAAAGCGTTAGCATATTTACTGTAGTATTCAAATACCGGTTATCCTAGTTAAACCCTAAGTTATCCAAAAGTGGATCTCTCTTTTGAGCTTGTTTCCTGTCTGGGGATTTCTTGGGTTACAGACATTGATAGGTGCTCCTGGCATAGATGCACCTGTACCCAATTCTACCACAGACAGGCAAAGCTTCTATAAAAACAAGATGTGATGGTGAATCTTTCTTCAGTTTCAAACAGGAGTAAAATGCACTGGTGCAATTTGTGGTTGTGAATTATAGTACATTTTTTTTGTCTGTACTACAAATGTATAGGGTTGCAGCTGAACCTGCAACTGGACACAGGTAGCTGAGACCCTCAGAGAAAACCAGGCAAGAGGTTTCACTTTACTGTTTAAGGCTTTGTATAAAGACAACTACCTGCATTGAAATGCTTCTATTTGCAGAGTTTTGAGGTTTTTCAGAAGAAAAAGTCTTTTTATTCTGAAAGTGCTAAAGCCTGCCAATTCCCTGTCCCAACACTCACTTATCCAAACTTGGAATCAGCTGAATGAATTTCAGGTGTCCAATGACATTTGCCTATTGAAGAATACACTGTATAATGCAGTTTAAACTAGTTCTGTATTGGGACAGATGTAGCTTGGGACAGATGTAGCTCATTCAAAAACAAAGTCATTTTAACTGATAAGATTAAATCAAGAATCTGAAGCAATATAATCAGTCATCCACCAAACCCTGGGAAATGAGCCCAATTCTGTCCTGGTTTACAACCTGCTGAAGTCAATAGAGCTGGATAAGGAACAAAAATCGGGGCTGAATGTGGCATTACTACATTAAAACTAAAAGTCTGTGGTTTTGGTTTACGTTCGAGTGCTGGAGAATGAACCTCAAGTGAAAAAAAAATTGATGTGTTTCAATAACTAACTGAAACCTTTCAAACCTATCCAAACTAGGTTAGGTTGTAAGGACTCCCAAGAATAAGGTTTTACTCATTTAATTTTAAATGCTTCTTGGTTTATAAATACAGGAAGAATAGACTTTCACTGAGTTTCACTACTTCCTCCTCTTCCCTTGATTATTAAAACTAGCAAGGGCAGAGGCCCATAACCATTTAAAAAGAAAAGGTTTAATACAACTTTTCTGATTTACATAAATTGAAATTTGGTTCAGTATGTTATGAGCAAAAACTTCCGCTCAGTCCTCAGTGAATTAGTTCCCTCTGTTCTCAGTATTGTGCATCAAGATGAGGGTGACAAAGAATTGAAAGCTCTGACAGGTTTTCCATGAGGCAACCAAATTCAGTGCCTACAGGCCACAGGGATATGCCACATGATGTGCCACATGACTACTAGAATAGAAAGTCTCAGTATTTCTGTTCATAAGGACATGAACAAGCTTTGTTTAAAAATACTCTAAATGGAGTAACGTTAGATAGAACTGAAAGTGGACTAAAGTAAAACTGACATTCCCAAAAGAAAATCAAAAGTAGTACATAATGTATCTGCAACTTGGAAAGTAAAAGTGGATTGTGACCTTGCCTGATGTTATAAAAGGGTTCATAACATGAAGCATGTGAGAAGCACCACTGAAGGCACTGGCACTTGCTCATAAAATATATATAAATAAATAAAGTCAATAGAGCTACCAGTATGCTTAGCATTCAGCACCTGTGTAAAGGACTGCAGAATCAGGGCCTTGCGTGATAAAATTATGCTCCAATGTCATACATTTTTCCTTTACTTAATCAACTGAATCTGTTGGGAGAAGGCAGGGATGCATGTGTGCATGTGTCTTTTGTTTATTGAAAAATAAAAATAGTTTTATTTTAAACCTCCAAAATAAGATGACAAGGTTGGATTTTATTTTCTGCTTCAAACATTCACCTACTTTTCCTTTCCCTTGTGCAAAATTGCTAACTTTTTGCTCTTGATAGAATATACGCAACCAATTTTATGAGCTGTTTTAGGCATTTAAAAAAACTACTTTAAGTGATTTAGGAGCCTAGATTTAATACTAAAAATTATTTAGGTGGTTGAGAGTCTAAATCCTTTCAAATAGCATCACTTATGCAAGTTATAAGTAGAAATCATCACTTCCAGTAAGTATTAAAAATTGTTTTTAAAACTATAGCACTTTTTCATGCACTGCATACCATTAGACTAATACTTCATAGTTTATTTTCACCTTTCTTGTTTAATATAACATGGCTTAGAATTGCTGTAATGTTACTACTTTCATATGCAAAGTTTTGCAATGAGGTGTGATCTATTTCACAAAATATACTTAGCTATTTTTTCTGCAACTCTAATGCCTGTTGTTTTGTTAACATATTTTTACTCATTGCCTTTTCTCTTAAAGAACATAAACTTAAGATTTTTTTTAACTGGAAAAAAAAGGATCTTTCTTGGAATTTTCTATCAGATTTTACCTTTGCAAATTCCCCAGAGAGTTGCTAACAGTGTTCTTCACCTCTTCTTTCCCTGGTTTGAAAAATCTCTCTCTCAGTGAATTAAACCCCTGAAAAGGCATCTTGTCTTTCTTCTTTAAGAAATCCTTTTGGTTAATAGTCACTCACAAATGCTGTCATATTTGCTCATTTCAGACTTGGGAGTCTTTGTTGTTCACCTTCTTGATCTCTGGGATAACAACCAGTTGCTCTGGGAAGGATCACAGAAGAAGAAGAAAAACACCAACACTGATCCTACAAAGCAAGAAAGTCAGAAAGAGCTCCAGTGCAAAATCTAAGAGCACAATTGCTGCAGCAATACTGTGTTTCTCTTCAGGGGCAGGCACCTTTAAAGGAGGCGGCTAGTCCAAATGCTGCAGCTGGAGGAACTGGGAATGCTGAGGTTAGTATCACTGGACCTAGTGCTGCCGTTTGCACCTCCAGCCAACCTCAGACTAACTTGCACAGGCTCATCCTCCCTCCCTTCTGCTGCATCTCTCATGTTGAGATCTTATGCAAGGTGATGCTATAGTAACGGACACAATACCTGTCCTCAAGCCACTCAAGTTTATTAATAGTATCTCATTCAAGGCAAGGGCAAGAAGTTTATTAAACATTTACAAGTTCTTTCTTACGCAGGCTGGGAATTGCAGGCTACAGTTCCCACTTGCTATTTATCCCCCTGCCCATATGATCCCCCTAACTGATAGCACCTGCCTTAATCTGCCTCAAAAATTAGGGCCTGGGGCCTCAGGCAAACAGATGCAAAAGAGTTCGGAAAGTGCTTCTATTTGAATGGGCAATAAAAGTGTGGCTGTATATTGAGGTGATGCATTATAATTTTAAAATGCAAAGTGGGTGAGAGAGATGAATCATTTCATTCAATTCAGCTTTGCTATGACAACATGGCTCTTTTAGTGCTGAGTTCAGACATGCAATCAAAGCTCTTGCAAGAGTGCAGCAGTCCAGCAAACCCAGAAAGCTTGCACACTATTGCCATAAGGCCAATGTGAAATGTTGTATTTTTGGCAACACTTGTGTTAACAAAGCTTTGGTTTTGAAAGCAATCCAAACCATACCTTAATTTTAGGCTGGTGTTGGTCAGCCTGCTCTGCTTCCCAGGTGGGACAGGTGGAAATCCACAAACGTTTCGAGATTTCAAATCACAGGTGATAGCAAAAGGGGTGGGGTTTTACTCTCTAGGTTTCTTTTGTACCCTTGGGATAGAAAGGTACAAACAAACTTTCAGTTCTTGGCTCTGCCAATGACCTTCTATGTGAACTTGAAAGAGTCAAAGATGACAGGAGTCAGGGGCAGTAGGACCCAGGGAAAGCCCCAGCAGGCTGCTGCAACAGCAGGGCCCACCCAGCCTAGCAGGGCCTTCTGGTCTGGGACTGTGGGGCTGTTCGTGGCTGCAACAGCATGAGGGAATTCAGGTAAGAAGGGTGGGGCAGAGAACCGTGGGGATTGCCCCAGTCCTCGGGCCGGTTCATGCTGAACCCCACAATCCAGCCATGCAGCCAGGAGCTGGCAGGTGGGTGGGAAAGCAGGGGTGGAGGGGAGTGGAAGCAAGCTGAAGCGCAGGGCCTGTGCCAGTGTCTCAGAACCAGAGCCGGCAAGGCCCAGAGCAGGGTGGTAGGAAAATGGGGTGTGGGCTGGCAGCAGTCTGTGGAGCCAGGCTGGGCTGCACCAGCAAGGAGAGGGGGAAGCAGACATGGCTTCATGGAGCCGCTGCTGGCCAGGACCCTTTGCTCCTGCCACCCTGCTCTGGGCCCCACTGGTGCTGGCCCCAGGACACTGGCATGGGCCCCATGCTCCCCCCCCCACCCCCAGCACCCCCGTCCCAGCCCCGTGGAACAGGCAGGGAGCAAGCACGCAGCCCTGACCCCGCATGCCCCGCGCTCACCCGTGGGTTACAAGCTGGTGCTCAGCATGGGGGAAAAATGCCCCCCCCCAGCTAGTGCCCATGCTGCAGCTGCTCACAGGCCACGCGTGGCTGTCCTTCCTTTCTGCCACATCACCACCATGGGGCAGTGGGCAAAGGAGAGCAGGCACAGGCAGCCCCAAACAGCTGCAGCATGGGGCACTGGCTGCGGGGATGGGGGGGGACTGCTTTTCCCTGCACTGAGCACTGGCTTGTAACCCACTCTCGTTGCTAGCCTGGGCACTTCACTGGCATCAGGCTCACCCATCAGGGCTGAGCCATAGCAGCAGCAGCTCGGCAGAAGCTGCTGCTCAGTGTGGAGGAAAGTGCTCCCCCATCTCTGGCGGGCAGTATTTGGTGCAGATGCCCACCCAGAGCCCATGCTGCACTAGGCTGCGGTGCAGCTGCTTCACCACTGCCTCTGCGCTGCCCAGTGGCTGCTCCACATAGCCACAGCAGGTTACAAGCTGGTGCTCAGCACAGGGAAAAGCTCTCCCCCGCCATCCCACAGCCAGCACCCTGTGTTGCAGCCGCTTAGAGCTGCCTGTGCCTGCTCTCTGTTGGTCCTGCTGCCCTGTGGGGTGGTGGTGATGTCACAGAGGCAGGGCTGCCCCACGCAGCCTGTGAGCAGCTGCAGCATGGGGCACTGGCCACAGGGAGAGGGGATTGCGCTGAACACCAGCTCATAACCTACAGGCGAACATGGGGCACACCGGGTTGGGGCTGCACACTGCTCGCCACCTGTACCATGGGGCTGAGGCAGGGGCACTGGGGGTGCGTGGGACCCAGCAGCAGCTGGGAGGGAGCATGGGGCCTACACTGGTGTCCTGGAGCCAGCACCGGTGGGGCCCAGTGCAGGGCAGCAGGAGTATGGGTTCCCAGCCAGCAGGGCTCTATGGAGCCAGGTCAGCTCCCCCCTCTCCCTGCTGGTGCAGCCCATCCCAGCTCCACAGACTGCTGCCAGCCCACACCCTGCACTCCTACCACCCTGCTCTGGGGCCTGCCAGTGCAGGCCCTGTGCTCCCGCTCGTTTCCACTCCCCCCTGCCACTTTTCTGCCCAGCCACTCTGCGCTACATGGTTCCCATACCACATCCATACCCATACACACACATTCCCCACAAACCCCTATATGTAATCACTTCTGCATATACACCACAAATGCCCACAAATCAGGACAAAAATAAAGTTTTTAATTACATTTAAATATATTATTATGGGTGTTTGATTTTTAGTATGTAATTTGTTTTTTCCCCCTAAGATGGCAAACCCTCTTCCCCAAAGTAGTACTTCCAAGGGCAAGGGGAGGGACTTCCAGTGGCAAAGGTCAGAGGTTAGGGGCAGGACTTCCAATCCCAAGATGGCGACCAGGGCAGGGCACTTATCAAGGGATAGGACTACCTATGCGATCCTCAACAGCTTGCCAAAATTCAGTAAGTGGCCCTCCACACGGAATTATTGCCCACCCCTGCTGTACAGTGTCTTTATATAATGAGCAATATCATTGTATTGGGGTCCTGATTTCAAGGATGGACTCTGTGTGTGCTGTAAATGATGGACTGATGTCCCACCCCTCAATTATAATCATGACACAAAACTTCAGAGATGAGTCATGGAATACCTTGAAAGTCACTCCCTTATACTTAGTGAAGAGATGCCTAGGACAGGGCAGAATCCTCACTCAGTTGTTAACCAGGGTTAAGTGCAGACAGTCAAAAAGCCCAAGGCTGAATTGATTCTGTCTCTGCAGGTTAGTCTGAAATGCACAGATTAAATTGAAACAGCAGTGAGCATTTACCCTTGCTTCAGCCACATACCTGCAGTGGCTCAGGCCAGAAGCCAGGGGGCACTAGAGCACAGCTCTCTGGCTGTTTTACTTCTTGTTCCTGCTGCCCTGTGGTTTCTGGGATTTGCAGTCCAGACTTACAGCAGGACGACTCTGCAGGGTTGCTCATCACTTCCTTTTCCTGCTTCCAGGTGCTTCTGGGATTTGTAGGCCACAGTTGCAGTCAGCAATAAGTTTGAGCAGGAAAACGGGTGTTTAACTCCCATCCCTGGCCCCAGCCAGGGTCTGACTGCGAAAGTGGGGAGGGGGGGGCGCAGCAGTCCCCCCTCTGTAGACTGAACTGCATCTTCAGCTGGGCTTGTTGCCCCTCCCCACTCGCCTTTGTCAGCCAGCCCTCACTGCACTAGCTAGGGAGCAGAGGGGCAGGGCCAGCCCTGCTCTCCGGAGCAGATAGCACAGCCCAGATGAGGGCTGGAAAGCATGCAGGGATGCTGGGGGACTGTGATTTAACTTGAACCAGGAAGGGGTCTGGGACAGAAGTTTCATAAACCAGATTGGCCCAAATCAGTTAAGTCTGATACTACATTCAACCAGGTTCATCTTAAACCAGTTTTGGCCATTTTGAAACTGGTTTATGTGCATTGAGCTTCTGTTCTGTTACAGGTTTAAATCAATTTCTGATCACTTAAACCAGTTTGTAACTTCTGTCCCTAGCCAGGATGGGCAAGTGGCCCTAGATGAACTCTTCTAACCTCAGCATTCATCTCAACTATTGGCTTCTTTCTGATATTAATCTTGTACCACTAACCTAAAAAAAAAAAGGTCTTGGCAAAAAGAGATTGTTTTGCAGAATGAAGTAACCCACTCTATCTGGTTACTGTCTTTTTTACCCTATTAAGTAACTCTTGTCCTATTTCTAGAACAGTGATGGGAAACCCTAGACTCAGTGCGACTATCTTTCATTTTGGAGCATACAGACTGTCTAATACTTGATAGACACGTAGCTAGCCAGCTCCCAGTACTGACTAGATAGATATAAGGGGATGCAGAAAATCAGCATCAGTACTTACCCAATAAAGAAAAGAACATGCATCAGATCAGCATGCCCCATTGCCAAAACTAACTTGAGTGTTCACAAAATTAACCCCTGCATGAATCACTGCACACAGCACATACACATATATGTGACATAGCAAGGCAGTGTCCAACCTATAGATAGAAGCACATGGTAAGCCTGTACCTAACTTCAGAAAAATACACCTACTAATATATGGATAGTTTCCTACACGTACTTCTAGCAGAAATGCACATTACAAAATATATGAAACAAGTAATAATAATCATTCTAAAGAATAGGGAAACTCAGAAGACTTG